GGATCGAGAGCAGTTGGAGCAGTTGGACCCCTCGCGGAGCCCCCCCTCCAACTGCCCCCCGCTCCCCCCCTCCAACTGCCCCCCGCTCTCCCCCTCCTGCTTCTCCCGCTCCGCCTCCTCCGCCTCGATCAGGCGCAAGTGTCCGCTTCCGCGGCTGCTGCGGACGCTGCCGCTGCTCCGGAAGCTGGAGCGGTATACGGGATCGTTCGACTCGTCCGCGCTGTCCGCGCGCGCGCCGTCGCCGGGGTGCCCAAAGGTCTGCTCCTTCTCTCCCGCCGCAGCCGCGGCGACGGCGGCGCCGAGCGGCGACGCGCCGCTCTCCGCTGCGGCGAGGACCGCTCCCACGCGCCGCTGCTCTGCCGGGCAGACGGCGGCGAGCCACTCGTCGGCGAGCCGGCAGACGCCGCGGAGGTCGGGCCGACGGTCGGGGTCGATGACGAGCATGCCGTCGAGGAGCTTGACGAGCAGCGGTGCCGCCGGCGAGCTCAGGCAGGGTGAGAGCTCCTCCTCCGTCGCCGGCCCGACCATGCCGGGGAAGGTGGCGGCCAGCTCGTCCGAGAGCGGCGTCGAGAGGAGGAGCCACGTCGCGCTAAAGCCGAGGTGCGCCGCGCGGCCCTGTGCATTGTAGACGCGGCGGTAGCGACCCGACTGCTCGTGCACGTTTGCGAGCGCCCACGGGTGGAAGCCGGCCGCGGCCGCGAAGAGCGAGATGCCGAGCGACCAGACGTCGGACTTGAAGGTGTTGTACGCGCGGGCGTGGGGCACGGCGCGCTTGCAGATCTCGGGCGCGATGTAGGGCAGCGTGCCCGCGGCCCGCGTGCTCTCGCGCTGCATCAGGCTCAGCCCAAAGTCGATGAGCGTCGCCGAGTGCGCGCGGTCGACGAGGATGTTTGCGGGCTTCACGTCGAGGTGCGCCACGCCGCAGCTGTGCATGTAGACCAGTCCGACAAGGGCGGTGGCAAAGGCGCGGCCGAGAGCGGCCTCCGTCTGGTCGCGGCCGCACCACCCGAACTCTCTCTCGCCGGCGCGATCCATCACCATGTAGTGCCACCGCCGGCCGCCAATCTCAGCCGTCGCGGCGGTGTGCAGCCTCGGGACGGAGGGGAGCTGTGACCCGTGGGCGCTCTCGTTCAGGAGCCGGAGCGCCACCTCTTCAGTAGTGCCGATATGGTGCGGAGCTACGTCGGGCTGCAACTTGAGCACCATGCTCTGGCCGCCCGACGCACATTTGCCAAAATAGATTCGCGCAAATCCTCCGCCGGCAGAGGGGAGAGTCGACGGAATGCACACGCCGAGGGAGGCCGGCCGAGCGGCTGCGGCAGCGGCGTACTCCTCCTCGCTGATCTGGCTGGGGGGAGACATGTGGAAGTCACGCCCTCGCCTCGCCCGGGCCGACAAGGCGAGGAGCCCTGAGGGCGAAGCTGTGGCGAGCGGAGGGCGACACGCCGTTCCCCGGGACAACGCACCGGTTTCTGCAAGAAAGCCACTCCGCTCCCCGGCCCTGGGTGTGCGGTTACTGACTGCACTCCAAGTGCTCCAAGTGCCATCGCGCCTCCGCACAGTGGGTTGCGGGCATTAAGAAAACAGGATCGCGGCACGCCGCCGTTTCTAAGCCTTTCCACAGTCCTCCCCACACCACGCCGTTGGCGAATTATGGGGAGGTGTACACCGAATCGGACAAACGATCCCCTGGAACACCCGTACTCTCCCGCGCCATCTCCGTCGCCCTCTTCGGCTGCGGCCTTACCACCAAGATCGGGAGGCGGCCAGGGCTCATAGACTCGGTCGAGAGACCCCAGATTGGCATCCATGCCTCTCTGGACAGGGTGGCCCGCCACAACGACCCCTGGAATTGCGACTCGCCGCTTTCCTCCCGCTGTGATTCTGTGTGAGCTCTGTGTCTTGATTTGCCAACAATATACCTAAAACAAACACACTCCTTACTTCAGCTGCTATGTCGGCTGTCGGGCTTCTTCGGCTCGCGGCCGCCGTGCTGCTGGTCCTGAGCGATCCTGCGCTCGCACTCGCGCAGAGCACGCGTGCTCTGCGCCCCGTGGACGCCGCAGCAGCGGTGTCCCACGTCGGCGCTGTCCGACACCCACTCCTCGGCTCGACGTTCCCAAGAGCTGCCAGCTCGACCCGCCTCAACCAACATCTGCAGCGCGATCAAGAATGAAGAAACGTGCGTGGCCGCGTTGCGTTAGTCAGCTTATGGTACTCTCTCGTTTCTCCCCACACAATCACAAATACGCGAAGACGGTGTGTTGTGTACTAGCGAGCTGGCACACTCTCCCCCACTTTCACTCCCTCACCCGCGGGACGAGCAAGTGCAGCCTCCCGCTCGAGTCGCCCGCGAGGAGAGCCCCATGCAGCCCGCGTCCGGTGGCGAGGGCCGTCACGCGCGGTGCGCCGGACGCCTCCGCCTCAGCGCCGGCCTCGCGGGGCGGCAACGCCACGCGGCCAACATCGGAGAGGCTCTCTCCCTCGAGGCTGACGACCTCGCCCTCGACGCCCGCGTGCACGTGGCCGCCGGCCAGCGCCAGGCTGTGCACCCGGGGGAGGAGCGCCGACTGGGAGAGCAGGCGTGCGCCGCCGGGAGAGCAGGCGTGCGCCCACCTCTTCACCGCGCCGTCGAGGCCGGCGGTGAGGAGGCCACCACCGCCGGGCGTGAAGCGCACGCAGCTCACTCGCCCAGCGTGCGCCGCCCAGCGCACCGGCACGCCCGTCGGGACGCCGTTGCTTCCCACCCGCCAGCAGCGCACCCGCCCGTCGACACTGCCAGCGGCCAGCGCGCCTCCCGTCGACGCTGCCAGGCAGAGGATGTCCTTCGACCGCACCTGCTCCTCGTCCTCGTACAGCGCAATCTCGTCTTGCGCCGTCACGCCGGACGCCGCCGGCGCGTCCGGCGGCGGCAGCGGCGGCGCCCACGAGAGGATGCGATTGCAGCCGATCGAGTAGGCTGCACGCGGCGCAGCCGCCGCCTCAGCCGGATCGATGGCAAGCGCTCGCACCCATCCCGTGTGTTGCGCGCTCTGCCAGAGCGGAGTGACTGCCGTGCCGCCGCCCGGCTCCTCTCGCAGGCGCCAGGCAAAGACGACGCGCGAGAAGGAGCCCGCGAGGAGCAGACAGTCGCCGCCCGGCAGCGGGGACGCCTCGAGCGAAAAGACGCTGCCGCCGCCCGGCCGGATCTCGCCCGATGGCTCAATCCCAGCGGCCGTGGCGCGCCAGAGACGGATGTCAGCGCTGTGGCCGGCCGAGGCGAACAGGGACGAGGAACCGAGCTGCGCCGCAGCGAGAGCGAGGACCGAGCGGCCGTCGTGAGCGGCGCTGCTGGTGGTGTGTGCGAGTCGAAGCAGCATTCTTCTGCGCTCTCGATCCGTGGACACTCGAGAGCCTGAGCAACTCTCCTGAGGTTGAGCAACCCTCCTCACGAGCGTGGACACACCGGTCCTGTGCTTTGTGTACGTCTCTCTCGCGCTTGTGTGTGTTCGCGTTGTCGAGGGAGGGGTTGTCGCTCAGGAGATCGAAGGAGAGGGTTGTCGCTCTACCCCCTGTATCGGGGTTATGGGGGGTTTACGAGGTGTGAACGTGAACAGAGTAGCCACATCGCTGTCGATCGTTACGGCACGCATGGGGGGCCTCCCGGACGTATGATCCTAGCCCAATAAGCTCCACGGAGCAGATTTGGATTTTTGACAGAATTAAATGCACTGCCCCCGCACGGTACTAATAGTCGTAGTTTTGGGGGCGGCGCCCCTCACGGCACCACACTGACGCCGGACAGCCTGAGGTTAGCCTAGCAGTGAGTGGGAATCGCCTGCCGGTCGGCTTGGCACGAGCCAAGCACTTGGGCGGCCGTCAACCGAGTCCGAGCGGCGCCTGAGGTGGGTGCCACGGCCAAAAACCGGCGCCGGTGAGGGGTTGTCGCCTTTCCGCGTAGGGGGCAAACTCGCCATCCGCCGAGAGTCTGAGACGAGCACTACACCGCAAGCATCGCAGTACTGCGACACCACGCTATGATTACTTCTGCGGGTACCGCGCCAAGGCCGCGGGCGCGGGGCGAGCTGCGACGAGATGTAGCCACAATGAAAACGGCTCCGCTCACCGCTGAGAGAGAGAGAGAGCTTCTTCTTCTCTCCGCTGAGACTCACGGCGACGGCGTTGCACGGGGTGTCTAGTGTCGGCCGCGCTGCCCGCACACCTTTCCGGTGAGGAAAGAAAGTGGTGTGGCGGCATGAACGCTGATGGCGCAGCCGACAGAGAGTCGCCTATTGGACCGATCACTGGATCACACAAACATCGGACCCCCGCGGGGGAACGGGGACGATCGTCCGGCTCCGGGTCAATACGGGTCCATCCCCCCCCCCCCCCCCCCAATTAGGCTCGCGACAAGTGGAATGTGCGGGAACAAACCCGCCGTGGCAGACCACAAATCCTACTTTTGTCCTACGTTCGCATAACAGGCTGCTCTACATAGCAAGGCGCCAAACATGTCCTGTGCACCGCGTGTGGAGAGCGAGGGCAACAGCCCAAACGCGCACTCCGGAAGAGCGGACAGATCGGGCAGACGCGCTCGTTACGATCTAGGCCGGGCGGGCGACCGCGAGGAGGCGCGCGTGCGGGGCGGCGAGCGCCTTGGCAGCTGCGACCCCGTGGAGGGCTTGGCCGCCTTCCCGCTGCCGAGGAGGTCGAGGTCCAGCAGGTCGGACGGCTTGGCGTAGCGCGGGTCGTCGATGGTCGCCGCGTCGTACGAGCCCTGCCGGAGCACGCCCTCCGCTGCGTCGACAATCTTCCAGGAGGCTGTGGCCGGCCTCCCGCCCGGAGGCAGGAGGAAGGAGGGGAAGGCGCCCGCCCAGCAGAGGCGGCACTCCCCGGGCGCAAAGCCGCACGCGCGGCCGAGCTCCTCGGTGAGGCGGAGGGAGGAGAGGCCGTCGAACCTACGTCCCGCGGCGGCAACCCCAAGGTGCGTCGCTCCACCAAGGCGAGCAGGCGTGATGGAGCCGGGAACTCACGGTCTCGACGAGTCGCGGGCGGCGGCCGGAGGGGCGCGCGGGTCGCGCACCGGAGGTGAGCGACGACGGCGTCGAAGAAGAGCGCCGAGTGGAAGAGGGCGAAGTCGCCCGAGGCGTGCAGGAGGCCGTCACTGGGCGCGGCCTCACCCATCGCCTCGACTACTAGCGCGGGAAGCAGCCTACACAAACGTGCACTCTCAGAGGGAGGGGTTGGGAGTGGCAACCGCAGAGCGGGCGCTGCCGCGACGGGGAGTTCCACGTCCATGTGTACGCCGCGAAGAGGTAGAACCCGTACCAGTCGCCCGCCCAATCGGCGCCAGGCACCAGCGCGGGCCGCGTCCCCGCGTGCAACGTGAGGCGGCGCAGCTTGTGCACGGCCGACTTGCGGACGACAAGCACGCCCTGCGACCTGCCCACACACGCTGCGGACGTGGACAAGCGGGCTTGTGTGCGTTCGAAGGAAGTGGGTCAGAGCGACCAGTTGCCGGCCGCGTGGCGGTGCGCGACGACGTAAGGTACGTGGTCGGGCCTGGGCGGCGAGGGAGGGGGGATGCCGGCTTACGCAAGCGGGCGAGGACCTCCTACGTGCGTGCGTGCCGTACGTACCGCGTGCGTGCGTACGTGCGTGGCGTGCGTCCGTGCCGTGCCGTGCGTGCGCCTGAAGTGGCCGTAGGCGGCGTAGAGGGTGTGCCCGACCAGCCACGCGGCGAGGAGCGGGTGCATGTCTGGCAGTGCCTACCGCCGAGATGCGCTCGCGATACAGCCGAAGTGGCGAGGGAGACATAGCCCATGCCCGGCGGCGCCTCGAGGTCGATGCCCGTGGAGAGCTGGCCGTACAGCACGTAGTAGCCCACCGCATCTGGAGGAGAGAAGGGATCCGCTAGATGAGTGATGCTCGATGATGCGGTGGGCTTGGAGGTGCGGCGGGCGACCGGTAAAGTTCCAGCAAAAGACGTCGATGATGAGCGTCGCGATGATGAAGACGTGCATGCACTGGAAGGTGAAGATGGAGAGCGCCACGGCGAGAGAGTTGCGCGTGTAGAGCAGGAACGGCACCGAGAACTCGACCATCGCGGCGCCATTCGCCAGCCACCACGCAAAGGCAGTCTTTCCGAAGTCGGGCGGCTCGGCGTCGTGCGCCTTGAAAGTGAGGCGCCGGAACCACCTTGCCCAGGGCACACCCACCATGAACTTGGCCGAAGCGAGATTCATGGTGAACATGTGTGGGAAGGTCGGGCCCAACTTGCAGAAGCCCGAGCCGATGTAGAGCAGGGTGAGGAACAGCTGCATGCCGACGACCTGGCCGCGCTCGACGGGGAAGCACATGCACACAAAGAGGTGCAGGTTCTGCGTGCCGTAGGTGTGCATGTGCTGCCCGTAGTCGAAGAGGAGCTCGTACACGCCGCACGCCGCGAGCGGCCAGACGAGCTCGGGCGAGACTTCCGGGGCGAGAAGGCAGCGCCATGTAAAGACGTGAGTCAGTACGCCCTCCACCAGGCAGTCGAGCCGGGAGCGGCGCATCGAGAGGAAGGACCAGTGGCCGGCGGGACCAGCGTACTTGATCGTGCCCGGTGTGAGGCGGTACCACCAGTCCTGGAAGGGCGGGTTCAGCTTATTGTGCAGCGGGCCGTGCTCCACACCAAGCCCCAACGCCTGGCGAGGGGAGACCAAACTAGTCACGGACATGGGCGTGGGTCGTGCGAGGCTGCGAGCCCAGACCTCCCAGGCGTTGAACCAGATGAATAGCTTCTGGACGAGCGTGAGCCACGGGAAAGAAGTGTCTGGCTCGAGGACAGCGGGGGTTGTTGCGACAAAGGTGGCCGAGAAGAGCACACCATAGAGCGGGACCATGCCCCAGTGCCACGCGAAAAACGAGTTTGGCACACCGAGCCCGCCCGAGGGATCAACCACGCGCCGCACGCTCGCATCGAGCACCCCGAGGAAGCTCGATTCCTCTGGCTGCGGGATGGGAGGCAGGCCTCCCGCTGGGAAGCGCGTGAGCCAGCTGATATCGAGCGACGCGAGCACGCGGTCCCACGGCGACGAGGCGACTGCATACACGGCGGCGGCCGTCGCCAGTGTGAGGGCGCTGTAGAGGGCGAGGAGCATCACCGCGTGAAGCCGCGGCAGCTAGCGCTGCGAGAAGGGCCCACTCAATGTCGTTAGGCCCAGAAATCGGGTGGCGCTAGATCGGACGATAACTCTCTCGAGACTGGGGGTGGTCGACTGGCTGTGGCCAGGGGTACAGCGAGAAGAAGAATTTAAAGACGCGAACGGCCCTGGATGTGAGGTAGCGCGCGCGCGACCGCGCACGCGCGCGCGCATGCGAGCACGCACGCGAGCGAGCGAGCGAGCGAGCGAGCGAGCGAGCGAGCACACACACACACACACACACACACACACACACACACACACACACACACACACACACACACACACACACACACACACATGTTGTACACATGCACAGACACACAGCCCCTTCCCCTTCCTCAAGGGCGAGGACACGCGCAGGGGTCGCACTTCTAGCGAGGCCCACAGAGTGGGAGACTCCTATCACCGCCACTGCCACCCACGTGTCAGTCTGCCTGTGGTAGAAGAGACTGCCGGTGAGACGTCGGAGGAAGGTCGCTAGTCGAGAGAGATCGCCAGTGGATAGGGAGTCCACCGTGCTGCGAGCCTGTCGCTGTCCCTTGTCAGGAGCAGGAGAACTAGGAGAGCGCAACCAGTAGGAGGCCCGCGCTTGCCCCCGTGCCGCCGGGTGCAACCTGTCCTATACGAGAGATGGGATTCCTGTCGTGAGGGTGAACCCCCTGCCCAGCCCCCCTCCGTGTCGCGATGCGCTCCCCGCTCCCGTTCCCCTGTGTCCCTGATCGTCCTACAAGATCCTGCTTGTGCAGGTGGGGACCCTGTCCTTCTCCCACCCCTCGTTTGGCGTGTCCGTTGTATTTATTTATTTATTTATGTGAGGTTGCCGACTGCACTCCAAGTGCTCCAAGTGCGAACTCTCTTTCACAGCCGACAGGCTCGACACAGGTGCGAACTGGCGCGTGCTAGAAGAATTTTACCACGAAAAACTCCGTCGCACGACACTGGGCACGCTCTGAAGAAAACAGCACACGAGGCATGGGAGGAGGACAGGGTCCCCACCTGCACGAGCAGGATTTTGGAAGGACGATCAGGGACAACTGCGCGCTCCCTCACAAAAAAGAAACTCCACAAGTAGAGAAAGAGCGGTGACTGGTCCCGCTCCCCCTCCCCGCCGCCGTGGTCGGTAGACGCCACGCATCGCAACGACGGCTCCGTCGCCCACTCTCCACCAGCCTGTGCGCGGGCGAGGGGTCGAAGGGACTGCCGCCGATCGAGCGGCCGGTGGTCGAGAACGGCGGCGGCGGTGGCGGCGGTGGCGGCGGCGGCGGCGGCGGCGGCGGCAGAAAAAAATGATGGCGGCGTTCGAGCTTTGCGCGCAGGGCTGCCAGTGCGGCGAGGTGCCGTGCCCGATGGCGAAGATGAAGCTCTGCCCGTGTGCGGCGACATCACATTATTGCATTCGGATCGGCGGCGAAACCGGCATCTCCTTCACGCCCGTGCGACGCCGGCAACCTCATCTGCATCCCCGACATGTTGAACGACAGCGGCAATCGTCTCGTCAGCGAGCGTCATGTTGCCGCCGCACGAGAGCAAGTCGTGACCGCAGCCGACAACCTACATCGAGTAGACGTGAGAGTGCTGACGAATTGACGTGTGCATGCTGATGAGCGGACGTGTGGGTGGTAATGAGCTGACGTATGACTGTGAAAGCCAGTGAGCGGACGTACGAATACTGATCGCATCGTACACAGCATTTCGCTCCTGCTTGTATGTGTACGATGCGTCCACCACGTAATCCGCCGACTCGAGCGCGTATGGCCGCGTGCACAGCAGCGCGGTGTCGGCGGTCCCGCAGACGAAGAGCGTTGGCACCGAGATGTTGCCGACGGTGTCGGTCGCAGCGAAGCCCTGCGAAGGCCACGGCACCGACGTGCCGAAGAGGCCGCGCAGCGCAGCGACCGACTCCGCGGCCGGGTCGACGGCGAGGATCTGCTCGGCGCTGAGAACCGGCGGCATGGCGACGATTCCGTCGAGAAGGAACACGGTGGTGTACCAGAACAATGCGAGCTGGAAGGTGGTGGCATCGCCGAAGGCGAAGCCGAGGTCACTCCCCGCGGTAGCGCCGAGGGCCAAGTACCAGAAGTCGTTGTGGAGCGACGCAGAGTCGTCAAGACAGAACATCGTGAGGTACTGCGACGCGACCACCTGCTCCTCATCGGCGTTCGCGCCGAAGAGCGCTTCCGAGAAGGGCATCGGGTGTGGCGAGGAGAGCGAGGTGAGGCTGTGCAGGTGGTTGCCGTACACTGTAGGCTGCGCCATGAACCAGCTGAGAAAGCCGCCGTGATCGTGGCCGATGAGGTGAAACTTGCCACCGTCGTGCGTGAAGCCGGCCGCCTCCGCCATGGCATACGCGTCGTCGGCGAGGTGGTAGTACGAGTAGGCGTCGACTGTCGCCGGGCTCGCGCCCTCGGAGTACCCGCGCTGGTTGCACGCGAGCGAGCGCCAGCCCTTGCTTGCCATCTGCGCCATCAGACCCGAGTAGATGCTCGCAAACTCAGGGAAGCCGTGCAGCAGCAGCACGTTGGTCACGCTCGCGGCGGGGCCAGCAAAGCGGCAGTTGAATGTGAGGCCGTTGGCGAGGGCCAGGCGGCCGCACTCCTCCCCTTGCGCACATCCGGGCAGCACGGCCTGCGTCCACGACGGTAAGGACGGCGTGTAGGCCGATCCGAACGCGAGGTGGAGGGCGGGGAGCAGCGAAAGCATCGATGCACTGCTGCCGCAACCGCACGGGCCTTCTAATTACTAAGCCCGCGGGTAATCCCCCCCCTCCCCAGGGCCTCCAGGGCTCGCACCTCAACCTCTCACAGGCCAGCGCACAGCGCCATAGGAGGTATTTTCTTCTCAATAACAAGGCTGTGAACAGACCAGCGCCGTGAACAGAGTTCGTACACCGAGCCTCAGGGAGCAACTCGAGATCCCTCGAGAGTTCACGCGGAGTCGGCTGGGGCTATACCAGACAGCCGCCGCTGCCCGCCGGCAATTTTCGTGCTCCCACATTTAAAAATATTTCGCCTGCGGAAACGTTGGGGGACCCCATAGCTGTCCCCTCATGGTAGTTTTTGGTGGGGTTTCCACGTGAGACTTTTTGCAACTAGTCCTTCGTCCTTGACCGTCCTACCGCCCGGCGGCTTATGGCGGGGGACACTACATGGGAAAAGGAGCAGCAGCACGGTCGGTTTGTGCTTTTTGATTGTGCTTTTTCTCGGCTTCATGCACAAGATCACATTTCGGGCAACGACGCGCGATGTGCTCCCCGCGCCGCCCCGGCCGGCTAGCGAACCACCGCAATAAAGTCCAATCATGCGCACATGCTGTCGACGACGAAAGTGCCGCCACGCGTGGCAGCGAACGTGGCGCCGCCGCAGTGGTCACAACCACGCGACGGCCTAGGCTACGCCCCTCCCGCCCCGTGTCCGCGTGCTCTCTTCTCTTGCGTGCTCTCATCTCTTGCGGGGCGGAGTCGCGCGATGGCGAGCAGGGCGACGCTTGGTGTTGGATCTCATGTGTCAGTGTCGGCCGTGTGGCAGGGCGCGCGCGGTTTGGGGGGCCTCCTGCCCGTCAGCTCGTGCTCGCCCGGAGGATCCGACTCACCCGCGACGACCAACTCCGGCGGCTCCGCCGCGTGAGGAACGCGCCGAGGCCCGTCACCACGTGTCGCGCGCTCGAGCCTTGCAGACTGGGCTCTCAGCGCGATCAGCGCGACGTGCTGCAAGCAAAAGCAAGCAAGGCCGGGTCCTGCACGCGCGGCGACGGGGCCGTGCAGGAGGCGGCAGGGAGAGGGAGGGGAGAGGGAGGGGGAGAAGGGGGGGGGGGAGAGTGGGGCGGAGGCGGGCAGCACCTCAGCCTGGTCTTGTCGGCTCCTCGGTGCCGCCTCGGCCTCAGACTCGCGCCGTCGCCACCGACGAAAGTGCGCTGCGTCGTTGCGCACTCGACCCCCGACCCCGAGGTGGCGCGCCCAGGGGCCAACCCGTCGACCTTGCGGCCGAGCCGGACGGAGGGGTCGCCGGACCCCGCCGCGCCGCCCGCTGCACCGGCGCCGGCGCCGCCGAGGGAGGGCCGCGCCGCTCACCGAATCGACATCGAGTTGAGGATCGACTCCTTCGCGGCGGCGCGCTCCTTCTTGGACGCCTCGCCGCCCGAGAGGATCTTCCAGAAGCGGAGCGTCTCGTCGGCCGCGGCGGTGACGACGGTGGTGCCGTCGGGCGACTGCGCCATGTGGAGCACGCGCGAGGTGTGCCCCGTCAGCTCGGCCACCTTGACCATCGACGGGTACTTCCACAGGATGAGCTGGTTGTGCGAGTAGCCGTGCGACGAGACGAGCTCGCGGTCGTGCTTCGCCCACTGCAGCGCGCAGACCTGGCGGACGGGGGTGGGGGTGGGGGGTGGGGCGAGGGTCGGGGCGAGGGTCGGGAGAGGGAACGGCCGCGGCGGCAGCGGCGCGGGAGGGGGGCTGGAGGGGCGGGGCGGGACCTGCGAGTGCGTGTCGACCGCGTTGAGGCACGCGCCGGTCGACGAGTTCCAGAAGCGAATCATCCGGTCGGCGGTGCCTCCGCCCGAGGCGAGCAGGTTCCGCTGCCACGGGCACCACGCGAGGGCCTTGACGGCGGCGCGGTGCTGCTCCAGCCTGCCGAGGGGGGGGGGGTGAAGAGAGGAGAGGAGGGCGTGGCGGCGAGGGGTGTGTTGGGAGAGGGGGTCTTGGGTCTGGGGTCTGTCGGTTTGGCCTGAGCAGCGGCTGGTCGCACACTCCGTTGGCGGAGGAGGTGTACCGGTCGTCCCACAGGTTGAGGATGTTGTCGTTGCCGCCCGAGGCGAGCTGCGTGCCCGAGGGAGACCACTTGAGCCCGCAGACCTCCTGCGCGTGGCCGCGCAGCGTGCCCACCTTGTGGTCCGCCACGCGAACCTGCGAGGGAGGGGCAAGGTCAGCCACACACTGCGGCGGCCTGCCGTGCCGCACCACGGCGCAGCCTCTCCTTCTCGGCCGCGCGTCTCGCCGCGATCTGGCTGGGTCGCCGCTGGGTCTCGGCTGGGGTCTCGGCCACCTCTGCTGAGAGGACGCTCCCGCCCGTCTAGGAAGTGTCTAGGAAGTGTCTAGGAAGTGTCTAGGAAGTGCCGAGGAGGTGTCTAGGAAGTGTCTAGGAAGTGTCTAGGAAGTGTCTAGGAAGTGCCTAGGAAGTGTCTAGGAAGTGCCTAGGAAGTGTCTAGGAAGTGTCTAGGAAGTGTCTAGGAAGTGCCTAGGAAGTGTCTAGGAAGTGTCTAGGAAGTGTCTAGGAAGTGCCTAGGAAGTGTCTAGGAAGTGCCTAGGAAGTGTCTAGGAAGTGCCTAGGAAGTGTCTAGGAAGTGCCTAGGAAGTGTCTAGGAAGTGTCCTCACGTCGTGGTGCATCACCACCGAGTCTCGGCCGCCCGACGAGAGGAGGGGCCTATTCACAGCTGCAGGTGTGAAGAGACGCTGTTCACAGCTGCTCCATCTGCTTCTTGGCCCGACGAGAGGAGGCGCCCGTTCCAAGAGAGCGACGAGACGCGCGCGCGGTGGCCCGACATGCTGCGCACTTGCTTGAGCTTCTCGACGTCCCAGATCTGGACCTTGTGGTCGGACGTGCCGACCGCCATGTAGGGCCCGTCCTGCACCCACGACAGCGACGTCACGTGCGAGTTGTCGCCGCTCGTCTGCATGAGCTGCTGGATGGAGCCGTCCGACGCGTTCCACAGGTAGATCGAGTCGCCGAGCGCGACGCCGAGGACGTTGCGCTCGTTCCAGTCGAGCAGGTTCAGGTAGTAGTCGTCGAGCAGCTGCAGGGAGGCGGGCGGGTGAGAGGGCAGCTGGCAGGGAGGCGGACGGGTGAGAGGGGGCGGCAGGGAGGCGGACGGGTGAGAGGGGGGAGGGGGGGGCGCTG